CATCTAGGGGGAAAACTCAATGAATTGGAAGCGAAAAGAAGCGTTTTTCTAAATAGATGGTTACAGAGTTATAGGAAACGTGTCCTGAGAAGACATATTTCTTTCATTTGTATAATCGGGATACCAGCGTTATTAGTAGGGTAAATTGGATGTCTATACGTTATATAATATGTAATAACTAATAACTATCCAAAAAATGAGTTTTGTAATTTAAGTCAAAAGATTACTTTTGGAGAATTTATAAATCCATCAGGTTTTGAAAACCTCGAACAAAACCCGGAAGTTAAAATGTACCTACTGCAATCTGCAATGCTACTAAAGGAGGAATAAGTGCGGTGCGTTTGAAGAGCAGCAATGTACGTATTCACAATGGGGTTATAACGTCCTCTGGTTGCACATTAATTCCCTTTTTGGTGCAATTAATGACATATTAATTGATTCTACTGTCAAACTCGCGGAATTTGCGTTCAATTTAATAGTTCGCACTCGAATTTTCCAAGCTGGAGTTTTCTAGTAAGCTTCTACCCTTCCGCACAAATTTAGCAGCCAAAAACTACGTGGGTATTCCTTGGTAGTTCCCGACCCGAATTATTACTATTTTATTTTCAAATGTACGGTTAAACTTACCGTACTTCGAGAGTTTTATTGCACATGAGCTGCAAAGGAATTGGGTCGCCGAGATTGTTTTCTATCAAGATAGTTAGAAATGCGTTGGGAATAATGGAGAAATGCGCAATGGACGCAGATACCTATCGGATATCTTGCCCCATCCCAAAATCGAAATTTGAATGATTTCAATAGCCTCCCAGCTTTTTATTGGTGAAGAAACAAGAGGAGAAAGATGCCCGCGTTTTTCATGGGCAGCGTTTGACAAAAAAGAAAATTGACAAAAAATTAAAGGACAGAATCAAGGAATTATAGATTATAGAGATATAAAATTGAGGGTAAGAATAGAAAGGGAGGAAGGTCTTAGAGCGGAATACCCACTTAGCCGAACCTTAATGATGGGAGGAATGGAAATAGAGGAAGGAAAGAATATAAGAGGTAAAAGAAATGGCAATGCAAATAAACAATGGGGCAAAAGCGCAGATATAAAGAGAATGAAGGAAAAAGGGGCTTGGTGGCGATGACACACGTGTGAAGAATTGGAGAGAGGGGGTTCATGAATAATTTTAGAACAAGAAAGTACCTGTTCAATGAGAGAGCTGCTCATGTATGGAACGGAGAAGTACAAAGAAGATATTCTAAATGGAGGACACCACATTTACAGAGGAAGAAACTAAAATGGAAAGGATAAGGATAGTGTCATGATGCAGGGGGGTACGATTTGAGGAAAGGGTCGATAGGGAAAGCGAATTTGTGAAATAATTGTTGGCAACGAGGATGAAATGCAAAAGGAATGTGGGAAGAACAAAGAGGAAAATATTACGAAAGTAATGGATGCAGACGGGCTGAGGCCGAAATGAGGGGAGAACATAAGGAAATGAAGGTAAAAGGGATCTTGAATCTGGATGTACCAATACAACAACAGAGGGTGAAGATAGAGAGCGCACGAGGAAGTGGTACTTATAAAGATCTATTCGTCGTAAACCAGATGTTATAGCATGACGAATAAAATATTATTATTATTAATAAAGGAGTGGTTACGAAAGTATTTGTGGGCAAGAACAAAAAATATTAAAACAATAGCGAGATTCAGATGCGGAAATGAAGAGAGAGAGAGAGACAAGAAGAAAGAAAATGCGTAGAGAAAGGAGAAAACATACTGTACGCCGTACAGTGTACGGAGTCTGCTGGATGAGCACTGAGGAGGTGAGAAGTGGATGACGTGGATTTTAAAGAAAAGAAGGGGATTTTAGTTTTACTTTGTTAAAACTACGCATTTGCATATCCAAACTCAAAGATTACGCTATTCTCGTCTAAGCCCCGGTTGTACAATGTCGGTTTAAATTTCAGATTCGTTTAACTGTCGGATATCAGAAACACGATTGGTCAACTTGTGAAATATTAGCCAATCAAATACTTTAACCCACAATTTACCTATAAACTGAAATTTAAACTGGCATTGTACAACTGGGCCTTCGTCCCGTCTTTATTTCGAATATTCGGGATTTATCTTTGAAGTTGGACTTAAACCCGAAAATCTTGACTTGAAAAACTCGGAATTTCGGTTGCGACTTAAGAAATTGTGAGTTTGTTCACAACATCCTCGTTCAAGCTCAATCTCCATTTCAAATGTTCGGATTTAAACTCAAAATCCCGTCTTTACTTCGAATTATTCTGGCATGACCTCCGAATTTTGGACTTAATCCGGAATATTTTGACTTGAAACACCTCTATGAAACGCCTCTATTTCGAACATTCGGGTTGTAACCCCGAAATTCCTCAATCCCGCAAATTTTTACCTGAAATCTCGTATTTTCCGACTTTTAGCTTGAGAAATTTTGAGTTTATCAGAGAATTATCGAGTTTGTCACAAAATTGTTTTTTATCGACTTAAATAGCGAAAGTTCTGGTATAATCCCGAAAATTCCGCCCCTAACTCGAAGATCAAGATCTCTGTAACCTCACAGTTTAGCTGTCTGCGGTCTTCTACCACCCTGAGTGGGACAACTCTACCAATGACCCACCGACAACCCCTATCAAGGGTTTTTATTGTTGTTTACATCGAAAAGATTAATTTCTCGTTAATGTGTAATAAATCATTATGAATAAAATGGAAGATGATCTTTCGTCGCTTGTTTTGTAACATATCCTGCTGTGTAAACAACGTCATGTAAAAGTTAAGTGCCAATAATAATGGCGGAACACCCTATATATGATTTTATTTAGTAGCCCATTCAACGAAGGAAAAATAGAAGAAATAAATCGTGCTATGGTTGTAGGTGTCTTAAAAAACATACAAAAAATACTCTTGGAGGGGAGTAGATTATAACGGGTGAAGGGGGTTGCAAATACCCCATTTTGATTATAATTTTTTTTCCCCCCTTAAATATCTTTTTATGTATTGATCGCAGCGAAAAGAATGTATATGACCTTTTGTTTGGAGAATTTTCTGCCACCATTTACGAGTTATTTACTAACAACTAAAAAAAGGGATCTCAGCCCCCTCACCAGTTAACACCACCCCCCTTCACTGACAACTACCAATATTCGCTTTTCCCCTATTTGGGAGTTTTTAATCTTCGTTGAGTGGGTTATACGAAATAAGCACAAAGTATATTTTACTTGAATTTGTCTCAGTGTCTAGTTCCTTTTAGAATTGTTTGTAATTGCGTATTATTTATTGCTTGTTTCAATTTTATCGTTTTTGTAAATTGTTTTACTTAGATGTGTGTAGTTAATCATAAAATGTAGTCTTACCTGACGAAATTTAATTAAAACACGTGTTCTTATCGCTTTTAGAAGATGCAGGTGGTTACGATAAGCATAGTCTGTGCTCTCTTGACCTAACCGAATGCATTTAAATTCTAACTAAAAAGGTGTTTAGATGATCGAATTTTGGAGCTGGGATGCGCAATTAAGTAAGCCTAATTAACGATTGGCATTTAAACGAGTTGCTCTCAAAAGAAGCGCGCTTGAATTTTGACACCGATCCCGTATTTTTAAGACTTCTGGAACGACGTAATTAATTAAAGAATTTTTATTTTTGGGCTTTATCGGAAAGCAAGCCTTCGAGCTGGGGAAAACCGTCGAGTCGGCGTTCCGAATCCTGAACAGAAGCAGGTTTCCGTACCTGCTGGTGGCCCTCGAAGCACTTGCGTTCCGCCGTTCCCTACCGCCGCGCCGCCACCGTCTACATATATTTTATATTATAAATAGATGAGTGCGGGGTATTACGTTCAAACAAGCTTTGTAAGCTTTTCCATTTCGAAGGAATTTTGTTTCGATTTCGCTTCGGAATACATTTTTGTCATTGTCAATCATTAATTGTGTGTTTATTCCAATCCTTTATGCGACTCAAATAGTGTCTTCATGTCAGATTTTTCTATTCATCCCCAAGATTTATTTCAGGTGTTAATCAAGATTTGTGTAAAATAAATTCTTTGGAATTTTCGGAAGTTGATCGTGGCAACCGAGTCTCTCAAATTGAGAAGTTATAAGTCAATATTTGGATTTTCCTTTATAGCAGGCTAGGTGGTACCATTGCACACAGAACTCGTTTTGAATAAAATAATTGTGAATTTTGTAGATTTTTTGCGTTTCCGGACTAAATACTGAAACTTGATAAGGGGATAAATAAACATATTAGCGTAGTTGAAAAACCGATCTGGAATTGTCAACTGTACTGCCTTCTGAAATTCAAAAGTAATCTGATCTAAGAACACTATAAATATCGCTATATGAAGCTATAATAGAAGTTGAAACTGGAAGTCCTTAAGGTTAGCAATTAACTATTAATTGGGGAAGACTAATTAACGAAGAATTGTTTAAAATTTAAAAATAAAGTTGTAAATTCCTTACTAATTGCATAGAAAAGTTTGATAGCAATAAATTACATTTATGTTTCAATGACATAATAACCATTTAACTTTTTGTGGTCTTGATTACGTACTTAATGAGCCGGTACAAACTTTGGTACCAACTTATTCAAAATTGCAAGTCCGTAACCTTTTTTTCAAACCATTTGCGGTGTAATATTGAACTCTTTCGCTTCCGTACTGTACTTCAGCGGTGTCTCTTTGCTGCTTATAAGGTGTCCAACGTAATTAATCGAGTTTTAATTACAGTAATGAGGATAATTATCCATTTTCATGTCAAATGTCGTTAGAAAACCGGACGGATTCGATCAGCAAGATGACGATGCTCACGCTATAAGTATCTTTTTCATTTTCGCATTTTACTACAGAATAAGAAACGACCGTGGAACAATCCTACTTCTTAATTTAGAACGCGTGCCATGTATTTAACTAGATAGTCAAGTCATTAATTACAGTTTGTCTAAGGACAAATCCGGTGCACTTGAATTTATGCAAATTAATTGATGGGGTTAAACTTACCCGAATCGAATCACGCTCGCTCCGCGTACAGTATAGGTATGCTGCACCTGAAACGAGAAATAGGTCATTTTTTTCAGAAAAAACCAGATCGAGGCGTTTGAAACTGTAATTTTATATTATAGAGAAGTAAGAAATCAAGATAACTGTCCTACTTCAAGCCTATTTGTAATTCTATAATCGGTAATGCATTTTTTAACGTGCGTTTTTGTTCCACTTCAGATGACCTACCCGCGATTTTTCTTCTTGATCTACGCCAACAATACAGGAAAATGGCACTGGAAGATAAATGTTCCAAATACCAACAGTGGCACGCCTATTGTTAGTAATATACCATCAGCCAGATGTTCGAGGTTAAAACGTAGATGGTGATGGCAAAACGTTTACAAGGGCGGCAAAGAATTTTTGCATCCTGTTACTATCAATCTTGGTACAATCTCTTTTCATATACGTATGGCCATTAAGCTCGGCACTTATTGAGCCTTGAACGGATTGCGAACAACTTCAATGACATTGGCCGTTCGTAGGTGCTAAGATGATTAATTGAGTTTTTGCTGGTACCTCGATACTCTTGTCTGGTTAATTCGTGGACCCACGTCTCAATACATTGACAGGTAAGTACTGAAGTATATGTCAAATAAACATCCTATTTCAGAATCAAACAAGAGTTTCGTCTGAGAGCTACGTTTTCAATAACGAGAGGGTCTCCGAAACTGCAATTTTGGACTGAAAAGTGAAAATTGTCAATATTACATGAATTATGCTTCTGTTGTTCAAACCAAATAAAATGCCACGAATATAATCAAACGCATGCTTTAAATTAACTGCTCGAATAGCTTTTTCTACAAAAAAAATTAAGTAGAAAGAGGTACATGAAAAGTGTTTTAAATTAATTAGATTAATGTAGCCTTGTACGAAATCGTTAGTTATGATCCTCTGTCATAAAAAATAGGTGTAGGTTCAATATAGGGAAGTGTGAATGTTGAGTTCCCGTCTGTGGCCCACACATAGAAATCGCGGTTGTTTATTTTCGAGACTCGTTTGGAATTCTGCCCTCAATGACATCAGGTGAGGTTGGCAAAAACGCTACCCAATCGTAATTTTCACCAAAATTCGACATGAATAGCGAAATTTGGTACAAAAATTGGACAACATTCGATCTAGATCGATTTGATTCGTTCGGAAAGGTTGAAACGAAGTTTACCCTCAGTGGCACCGAGAAACTTTCCCAATGTCTACGATTTTAACAAAAGTTCCACTTAAATGGCGAACATTGTTAAACAAAAATAGGTGGAAAGTGTTTCGATATAGCACTCGTTCAGGAGTAGTCTCAAAATCGTGAAGTAAGTTCGGCATAAACGCATCTCACTCGGCCAATCCCTGCGATTTTAACTAAAATTCCACTTGACTGGCTTCGAAGTCGCATTTAACTCGTGGTTAAATTAAACAAATTAGGCAAGCAGTGCTTCCAAACCCAGGATAGCGTATTGTTTTACCATTACTGTCGAGCAAATAACGACTGGGTGCAATCAGTTTTTCCTAGAAGGGGGTTGACCACATTCCTTCTTTGAATTAAAATAGAGAGATTTAATTTCCCAATGTTCAGCGAAAGCGAGCGTTGCAGTAAACTTTGCATGATTACATTGTGCTTAGTGTCATTAGAAGCGCGCTTAATCAGTATAGATTTTGAGATTTGTCTCTGATTTGTAGGACATCTGGGGAAAAAAGATGATTTAATTTTGGAACGTTATCCCCGGAGTTCCAGTCCAATATTTTTTGGGAATTCTATATACGGTAACAGCATGATTTAGGGGGATCTTTTCCGTTTTGGCTTCGTGTTATTTTGGGAAATCTATACCGTTTCCGTGTACCGTATTCTGTTACCAAGGATTCGAAAGCGGTTCCTAATATTTCCAAAATAAACTAAAATCTCTAAATTCCTGCGTTTGAAATGTAACCTTAGTTCCTTTTAGATTTCTAAGGTAGAATCCAAAACAATTCGTACTTTTTCGATCGGACTACTCAATCAAAAGTTATGGACTAGAAACCAATTTCGAAAGAAAATTCAAAGGGCTGTAACTCTGATCTAGTAGCCCAATCTTGGATCTGTTTGAAATTATGGATTCTACAGGCCACATTCTATAAGGAAATTTTTTTCCGGGTCGATCTGAAACAATTTTTTCTTCGGGGCTCAAAAAAAGGCAGTGTATAACCTTCCTTTTTTACCAAAAATTGACTGCACCAAAATTTCTCGGGAAAACACTTTTTGTTATTAATTTCGGTGCGTAGAATCCAAAACAATTCGTACTTTTTCGATCGGACTTCTCAATCAAAGGTTTTGGACTAGAAACCAATTTCGAAAGAAAATTAAAAGGGCTGTAACTTTTGAACTAGTGGCCCAATCTTGGAACTGTTTTAAATTATGGATTCTACAGGCCACATTCTATAAGAAATTTTTTTCCGGGTCGATCCGAGACAATTTTTTCTTCGGGGCTCAAAAAAAGGCAGTGTATAACCTTCCTTTTTTACCAAAAATCGACTGCACCAAAATTTCTCGGGAAAACACTTTTTCTTATTAATTTTGGTGCGTAGAATCCAAAACAATTCGTACTTTTTCGATCGGACTTCTCAATCAAAAGTTTTGGACTAGAAACCAATTTCGAAAGAAAATTCAAAGGGCTGTAACTTTTGAACTAGTAGCCCAATCTTGGAATTGTTTGAAATTATAGATTCTACAGGCCACATTCTATAAGAAAATTTTTTTTCCGGGTCGATCTGACACAATTTTTTTTTCGGGGCTCAAAAAAAGGCAGTATATAACCTTCCTTTTTTACCAAAAATCAACAGCTCCAAAATTTCTCTGGAAAACACTTTTTCTTATTAATTTTGGTGCGTAGAATCCAAAACAATTCGTACTTTTTCGATCGGACTTCTCAATCAAAAGTTATGGACTAGAAACCAATTTCGAAAGAAATTTCAAAGGGCTGTAACTTTTGAACTAGTAGCCCAATCTTGGAACTGTTTGAAATTATGGATTCTACAGGCCACGTTCTATAAGAAAAATTTTTTCCCAGGACGATCTGACACAATTTTTTTTTCGGGGCAAAAAAGCAGTGTATAACCTTCCTTTTTTACCAAAAATCGACTACACCAAAATTTCTCGGGAAAACACTTTTTCTTATTAATTTTGGTGCGTAGAATCCAAAACAATTCGTACTTTTTCGATCAGACTTCTCAATCAAAAGTTATAGACTAGAAACCAATTTCGAAAGAAAATTCAAAGGGCTGTAACTTTTGAACTAGTAGCCCAATCTTGGAACTGTTTGAAATTATGGATTCTACAGGAGATAAAACCGTTTAAATTTGTCGGTTAGGGAAGTACAGGTGCTTTGCCCATTAACTAATATATATGGGTAAAAAAGGAAAAGGTTTATTACAAATCTCGATCTGGAAATTAAAACGAAAACAAGTATGTATGTTTTACCTTGCCTCTTAATTAAATTGTGTAATTGAAAAACGTCCCACTTCATGTTTTAATAAATTTTTCACCTCGTACAATTAACTATGTATTATTTCGTTTATTTATTCTTATAATTAAGCACACAAGGTAATTGCAACAGTGTTAGAATTTGTAATGTCGCCTAATGAATTTTAAAATAGCGACGCACGTCCATGATCGTGAACTTCGCCATTGTCGTAATTGTACATGTAAGTACAATGCTGCCTTTTTATATTCCGCTGTCATTCTAATCGCCGAAGCACGTCGATTTCTAAATCATACGCATCAGCATTGAGGTCAATTCCATTGTGCGTACACCTTTCTCTGCACATCGACCATTTCTTGGTCAATGGTGTTATTAACTTCAATTATCTAATAGCAAAACGACCAGTGATGTGGTCCCTAACTCCCTTTTGAAAACTGTTTTACTAAGCTCACGAGGTGCAATCCACGTTTTCTAGCAGCCCATTGAACTACCGTCAAAATAAAGACTTATAATAAACAGAAAGCGTTTAAATGTATACGTAAAGCTCTCCGAATTCTGGCCAAAGCACCTACTCAACTGTCAGTGTCTGCTTTTTAATGTAAGCAACTAACCCCATGGACAATGGCAGTATCAGCGAAACGTCTTATTTACCTTGTACCGTATATGTTTATGTAAAAAATAAAATGCAGTACGAATAGCAAGTAATTTTTTATGGTAAGACATGTAGGAGGTTGCTCGGCATCCACATTTACTAGGCGTAAGCGTCTCCATAAATGCAAATAATTCGTCTAACCTAGTTAGGTGCGACTTACCGCGTATGATTCATAATAACAGCATGCCGCAGATATTAAAAATTACTCCGCCAGTTACCATCGTTTTTGCTTAATTGTTGAGATAATTAATGATCATGCTTTCTATCACGACCGCGTATGTACTTAATCCGATAAAAAATTCCCATGATTCTCTACAAAATTTGATGCGTGTACATACTTCTTTAGTAATGTTAATACTTTCTACACTAAGATAATGCGATTTGATGTTAAATTTCGCTAGTTGGGAACGAAGGCGGTAATTATATTTAATTATCATGGCAATGCCTTTCTGGAAGGTAATTATTACAGTCAAATTCTGAAGAATCATTTACATTTCTCTTTAATGTGGTTAACCTGTTAACTTTCGTTTATGTAAAAGGCACAAGTACAGATCCTCATCCAAGTGTTGATTATTCATCTTCGTTAGGTATAGAAGCAGGACGAATCTCAAGGAACAAGTACAGGGCGAGGTATTTTAGAAACGCCACCATCGAATAGTAAAATATGGAAGGCTAAGGAATTCATTCTAGGCGAACTCGGAAAACTTGCCAACAGAACAACCTCAAGCTCTGTCTCTCTCCACATTAAATGCAGCCACATCATAAACTTGCCCCGGAAGAAATTTATGTTAATACCCCAATGGAATAGTTCAACAGTGGTATTTCTCTAAAGGTAAAAGCGGAAATTTATCTGTGAATTTTTTGTGGTAAGTTACCAGTTCGCAGAGCGAAATTACCGCGTGAGATAGGTAAT